GGGTCGACTCCGGACTCCAGGAGGGCCCGCCAGGAGTGCGAGATCCGAAAACCTTTGATTTTTTTTTGGTAGTGCCACTTTTTTGTTTTGTTTTTTCTTTTTGTTTTTTTTGGGGGGGGGTTCTTTTGGTCGTGTCGCAAGTTTCGTGGCCTTAAGATAAGTAAACCGGTGACTGTCATTGGAAAACACATGAAATCAAAAGGTTCTCGGCCCCCGCCCACCCCGGCTCCGGGCCCCAGGAGGGCCCGCCACGAGTTAGAGGTCCGAAAACATTCGATTTTTGTTTTTGTTGGTAGTGTCACAAGTTTTTCTTTTTTATTTGTTGATTTTTTGGTACTCTCACAAATTTCGTAACCCTAAAAACAAGAAAGCCTGTGAGTGTCATTGGAAAACCAATAAAATCAAATTGGAAACCAATAATCCTTGTGACTCTACCAAAAAACCAAACATCCTTGCGCGACGGGAAGGTCCTCCTCCTTCTCCCTTCTCTCTCTCTCTCTTTCTCTCTCTCTCTTTCTCTCTCTCTCTCCCTCTCTTTGTCTTTCTGAAGAGGGAGTAGGGAGTGGAAGGAGGCATGGAGGAGGAGGGAGGCAGGGAGGAGGAGGGAGGAGGAGGGAGATTGCAATTGAATGTGATTGCAATGCGATGCAATGCGATTCCGATGCAATGCGACTGCAATGCAACTCAGTGCGATTGAAATGCATGCGTCCTCTGAGATCTCGTTTCATGTGATCCGCTCTGCCCTGGGCGTACTCGATTCCCTGCATCATCCCGCGCATGTATGCGAGCGCGCCCAGCTCGCGGGCCGCGCCCAACCCATGGGTTGAACACGGAGTCACCACGTGCCCAACCCATGGGCGGGAGAAAGAATATATGTTTCGCGTTGGCATCCGAGGGCGGGCTGGCTTCGGGCCACCGCCCACGGTTTGGACATGGGGTGCGCAGCGTGTCCAACCCATAGGCGGGAACGAGATTATGCGATTCGCTTTAGAGATGCAGCCCCCGCTTGCCTGACGCATGGGCGGGAGAGAGATGATGTGATTCGTTTGGGCACTTGGGTGCGGGCTAATCGCGGGGCCCCGCCCATGGGTTGGACATGGGGCGCACCAGGTGTCCAACCCATGGGCGGGAGAGAGATAATGTGATTTTCCATCCATTCATTCATTCACCCATCCATCCATCCATTCATTCAATGGCCTCAGACTCTATTCGTTCCTTTGCTCAATGTCTGGCCGCCGCGGCTCGCGTCACATGTGGATGGAGGGAGAGAGAGAGAGAGAGAGGTATATATATATATAGAGAGAGAGAGAGAGAGAGAGAGAGAGCGAGTGATGCTCCTCCCCCCCCCTCTTCCACTTCCTCAAGATGGCTGGTGCTCAACCTGCGACATCACTCCTTATCCCTCCTCATTGTCATCCCTGCATTAAGAAGCAACAGCAATGATGCAATAGCAATGGGTACAACAGGAATAACAACATAACGCCCCACAACCTAGGATGATGATGATGCTGTAGATGATAGTATAGATGGCGGCGTCGGCGCTGGAGCAGATGTTGACGAACGTGCTGATGTCCGACGTATGGGGGTTCTTATTGAACTCGGCGTGACATATATATATATATAGAGAGAGAGAGAGAGAGAGAGAGAGAGAGAGAGAGAGAGAGAGAGAGAGAAAGAAAGAAAGAACGAGAGAGAGAGAGAGAGAGAAAACGAGAGAGAGAAAGAGAGAAAATAAAGGGACAGAGAGAGGGACAAACATATATACAGAGAGAGAGAGAGAGAGAGAGAGAGAGAGAGAACGAGACCGAACACCAGTAACATGATAAGAACAAGAAAAGGGGCAAACACTAACAAGAAGAGGGAACAACAACGAACAAAACAGCCGCGGCGCGACAAATCAGCGCACGTCACGAAGTCTTAAAAGTCACCCCCACGGGGGGGGGAGGGAGGGAGGAATGTGGGGAGAGGAAAAGGGGGGGGGGGGGGGAAAGCAACGAGGGGGCGCGGACGGGGGGGGGGGAAGAGCAGGGAAGGGAGGAGGGAGGAGGGAGGCATCTCAAAATGGGTCCGGGCAGATGGGGTCGAAGGATCGTGCCACATCGCCGATGCATCGGGAGGATCGTGCCGCATCGCTGGCGCATCGCCGATGCATGGGGGACGTCGGCGAGACATGGGCGACGGGGGCGTGGAAAACATCGGTTTCCATATCGACCTGCACCGCCGATGCATCGGCAATGCGGCGCGATCTTGCGACCCTTTCTGCTCGGACCCAGTTTGGGAGGTCTTGAAGGGAGGTAGGGAGGGGTGGAAGGGAGGGACGCACATCACGGCAACGCATTTTGCAAACTGTCGGCCTCCGAGGACCCCCAGCAGGCCCCAGAACCGCCAAGCCACGATTCGGGATGAAAAGCTGCGCCGGGAAAAAAAAATCCAGACCTCTGGGGAGCCACGTGGTGGAAAAACATGCAAAACGTGACGCGCGATGTCTGTGGAAAGAGGG